GAGGTGAAAAACATCTTCAAAAAAACTATAAAATATTGTTGAAAAAAATGAAGAGAACACAAATTATTGGAAAGATATCCCATGTTCGTGGGTTGGAAGACTCAATCATCAAAAGGTTCATATTACGCAAAGCAATCTACACACTCGATGAAATCCCAATCAAAATAACAATGAGGTTCTTCAGAGAAATAGAAAAAATGATCTTAAACTTTGTATAGAATCACTAAAACCCTATATAGTTTAAGGAGTCATGAACAAAATGAACAAAGCTGGAGGAATCATAGTTCCCCACTCCAAAATTTACTATAAAGCTACACTAAACAATATAGTGTGGTACTGTCATAAACCAGACAAATAGACTGATGGAATAGAACAGAAAGCCCCAAAATAAACCCATGTGCTTACAGCCAACTGATTTTTGAGAAAGATGCCAAAAATATACAGTGGGGAAAGGACAGTCTCTTCAATGATTGGTGCTGGGAAACTGTATATTCACTGAAACTAGACACTATCACTTACATAAAAATTGATTAAAAATAGTATAAAGACCTAAATTTAAGACTCTAAAGTATAAAAGTATAGTAGAAGAAAACATAGGGGAAACTCTACCTGAAATGGGAACGGGCCACACTATTTTTGAGAAAGATTACAAATGCACAGGCAACTGAAGCAAGCATACATAACTGGGTATACATGAAACGAAAAGCTTCTGCACATCAATGGACATTGTCAACAAACTGAAGAGACAACCTGCAGAATGGGAGAAAGTGTTTGCCAGCCATACATCAGACAAGGGGCTAATATCTAAATATATAAGGAACTTAAACAACACAAGAGCAAAAAAAGCAAATAAGTCAATTCAAAAATAGGCCAATGACCTATACAGATATTTCTTAAAAGAAGATACATAAATAGCCAACAGACACATGAAAAAATGTTCAACATCACTCATGGGGCCATGGAAAATGATTACAATGTACAATGTTGAATATACTAATTATCCTCATTTGAGCATCACATATTGCACCCAGGTATTTATATTCAACTCTGTACCCCACAGATAGGTAGAATCAACTATGATTCAATAATAAAAAAAAATAGCTTTAACAAACAAAAATTAATAAATAAAATGTTAAGGTATTTATCTTAACACACATATATAATTTGTTGACTAACTGATGGAATAAAGGAATGAAAGTGTAAATACATGAATAACTATTTCTCTTAAAATTGTAAAATGAAATATAACTGTTTTTCATTCCAAGTGCTATAATCCATCTTTAATGTTATTTTTAACTTTGCTAAAAACATATTGACAACCTGCAAATCATTCTCTAGGGTACTTACTCCTTTAGAGCAGAACAGAACTATTTCTTCTTCCTCTTGGCGATCCTAATATTTAATATGCAGCTGGCACATTGTAGGCTCTGAAATAATACAAAGTAGAATGATGGACTAATAAAAATTTGTGGAAAATAAAGAGGAATTTACAAAGATTTTTACCAACTTCAAATTACACTTTGCAATTAATTTAAATCCTTGAAGTTTTTTCCAGAGTCAAAAATGCCCATGTGATGGTCATGTTTTTATTTCCTCTATAATGTAGCTTGTAGCTTCTCCTTTATGTGGTGAAAAAGTCTGTACCATATAAGGTACTGGCTCATTTTATAATATCCTCATTCCCTCACCAGTTCTGCCAACTCCTTCTTTGGCATTTCTTTAATATTGCAAAGATGTTTTAAAAATTATTTCTTTTAAATTTACATTGTTGTTGATGTTTTCTATTACAGCTTGTTCTGTTATTTGAAGTAGATTCATTTTACAGGAGGTATTTTCCACATCCTCAATCTTAAATATGCTTTGTATTAAACTGATTGGCCAAGTAGAGAAAACTCTAAGACTAGAAGCATCATTAGATAACAAAATTTCTTCTTTTCAATTATTTATAAGAAACACACAAATACAAAAAAGATATTCTAGACACCATACTCCCATCACACACATTAAGCAACATAAATAGTTTTATATCACATCCTTTATTACTTTAAAGTAAACATCATTAAAAATAAATTAATGTTTGTCTATCCAATCTACCCCATCCCATTTCTTCCACCTGCTCTAGACTCAACCACAGTTAATTATCACAACTTTTTTTTGTCTTTCCTAAAATTCTACCAGGGCCATATCTAGTAGGAGTTCTGAGAGCAGGACCTCCATGGAGACCCCTGATCTGTAGAGTTACCCACATGCACCGCCAGCCCAGGAGAGTTAAAACAGAAACACCACAGAAGTGGAACTGTCTGAGGACCTAGGGACTGAATTCCCATAGCAGCCTGTGCAGGAGGTCAAACATGGAGTCAAGATGTATGATCCACCAGCTTTGAGACTGAATGCCTGCCATGCTGGGTTTCAGACTTGCTTAGGACCTGTTACCCCTTTCTTTTGGCCAGTTTCTCCCTATTTTGAATGTGGATATGTACCTTATACTTGCCAACTATTGTGTCTTGGAAATAGATAGCTTGTTTTGATTTCACAAATGGGACTTTTAACTTTGGA